TTTCTATTTCCACAAAACAAGATTGAGATTATATTACATTTATAGAATATTTCTATGGAACTGATTACAAAATCAATTCTCCCTGTGTAGAATGAGATATAATATTCCATTTATTGTACTATTCCACCACTTTCATATCTCGCCTGCATATATAGGACTTGCTTGAGACAGGGGGATGTTGAATTTGTGCCTAGCCTGAGCATTTTAGCAGCTTAATAAGACTCTGTCTCACAATGAAAAATTTTTAAAAGGGCCATAGGGTTGTAGTGGGATATAAAGGCCCTAGGTTCAATCCTAGTACCAAAAAAGCAAATAACCTCTCAAAATAAAAGATTTGCGTATTGTCAATTTTTCATTTCTCATTGTTCTAGTGTTTAGCTGTATATGTACATGGTTAAATGTATAGATGTACTTGCTCCTCAATATATTTTGTTAATCTAGAAGCATTCTCTTCCTATCTCACAAAGTATTTTTAATTGAAAGTAGATGCTGAATTTTGTCCAAAGACTTATTAATAATCTATCAAAATGGCCATATGTCTTTTTGTTTGGATGTATTAATATGGTGAATTAAATGCCAGATTTTAGATAATAAATCAACCTTTATGAGTTGGATAAGACCCAGTTATATAGGATTAATTATTATTTAACATAATGACTGACTTCTACTTATTGATGATTATTCCACATATTATATGATTATTCAAAATATGTATATTTCTCTTTTTATTCAATTTTATATTATTGAATAACTAATTTTAAAATAACAATCACATAATGATGTTATACTCTTTGTAAATAAATGTTAAGCTTATTTTTACTTAAATTCAATAAAATTTGCTTTTAAAATCAATGCTACTGGCTTTTCATTCCTGAATAAAACTGCTCTCTGCAGTTGGACCCTAAAGAACAGACTGAAAATAGATTTCTGACTAGTGTAAAGAGATGATTATCATCTGATAATCTCAGATGATTTCAGCTCTATTTTTTATTACTCTGACACTTTTTCTCTGATTCTTTTCATGCACATACACAAATTGACAAGCATCCTATGTAATGCCAAGCATGTGACCAAAAGATCATCCCAGGCCTGTGCTATACATATCCAACAGACTTAATGACATTTCATAAAATTTAACTTATAAGGAACAAATGTGAATTTCACAGCTACTTGCTCAAGGCCATAAAATTTAGCAAGTCTTTGACATCATACCTTATTCTGTGCTGTGGTTTAAAACTAGGTAGAAAGAAAGAGGAGGAAGTAGGAAGACTGGCTGTGTCTGATGGACACTTGTTTCCCAGGCAAATAAGTGGCTCATTAGGACAATCTCATAAGAGTTTTCAGTCTCCAGTTTTAGTTTTTTACTGATCAAATTTCTTAATTAACATTTTTTGCTGCCACATGATCCTTGTTTGCTGGCAAAATGTTCTGGAAATGAAAACAGAAGCAAATGTGTTCATAATTGAGAATAAGTCAATCATCTTTGAGACTCAAACTTTCAGAGCTTCTTGGGCCGCCAGAGAGAGAAAAGAAACAGGATAAATAAACGAATCTGCAATCTTCCTTCTCGCATCCTTTTTTCAAAATTTGACTACCTTTCGTATTGAGTGTCTGAGAGTTTGTATCTCCTTAAAGGAAGACTCCAAAAATATATTATACTTCTGAATGACCTGCAACTTGGATGTATACTGACAATATAAAGATAGGGTGATCTGCAGCCTGGAAATACTAGTAAAGAAAAATCAGTGTAGTCACTAAATGAGTGATTTAAAGGAAGAAAGTTGGCAGTCAAATAACAAGATGCTTGAATTTGCAGTTTTGAAAATGGAATATGTCCAAATGCAGCTGTCACGCTGCTGTAAATGGAGTAAAGATGTGGTACACAGACTTCAAGATGACCAACTAGCAAAACATCTCCCTCCTTCACTGCAGGAAGTCATGATGCTTAGTGCTCAGTGCTTGGACCAGACCACGCTATGACTGGACACTTAGCCTGTTTGCCCAGCGTCTTGGCCAGTCACAGAGCCCACCACCTGTCTCTCCTCTCACAGGACATGGTAACCAACTTTCCCCCATGCTGCAGCTAACATCTTCCCCTACTAGCACCCCCATCTTTCTGTAGATAATTCAACATTAATCACACATGCAAAAAAAAAAATACATCATTTGGGAGATTTTACACCTATAGAATCTAACTTTGTATTTCCATTTTTTTAAAGAAGTATGAATTTTCTCCTGATACGAAGAACACTAAAGAAACTTTGCTATGTAGTACTTCCTGGAAAAAGCAAAGAATTCATTTGTCATCTAGTTATGAGTTATGCCACAACACTAATAAAAATTTTAGTCACTGACTTACATACTCATGTTCATTTTTACCAATCAGTGCAGTGAACATTTACTGGATCATATGCCTATCTCTGTTTTTTCTAGGAACTGCAAGAACATTTATCTTTCTGGTAATGTCTTAATAAGAAAAAAATAATAGCATGAGTGTGTATGCCTTCCACATACCCATTAGGTGACAGGAATTTATAAAAGTTATTGCCTGGGAGAAATATGGTAGTTCTTGCAACATTTACTACTAATAACAATAAACTCTTTTAAAACATTGATATGAAGGCTAAGTTATACATGATAGATAGCATCTAATTATTTTTTAGTTAATAATAACTGTTTTAACAAGGAAGTTATTATACATGTGGCATTTCAGCCACTTAACTGATCTCATAATTTTTTCCATGACTAAGGTTATGAAGAGGTTACATTTTGATTGCTATAATTTTTTAAACATGTAATATCCCTTAGAGGAAGGCTTTTGTCTAGTTTTTCATTATGACATCTTTCAGACACAAAAAAATATATTTTAAAAATGCAACAAATATCTATAACAATATCAAGATGTATCAAATATCACCATTTTTCTATATTCTGATCATTATTCTTCTAAAAAAAATGAAGTTCTAGATATACTTGGGGCCCCATTCCCTTCCCTTCTCTGATCCAGCCCTCCCCTATGGCCAAACTACTTCTTGTGCCTTCTGCTTTCCACTTTCTGTGCTTTGCTAACTTGGAGGCTGGAGAGCTCCCTTCTGTCTTCTTGGGGCATAACAGGCAGTATTCTGGATGCCTGAAAGGGAAATGAAAAAATAAAGTCTAATCCTTAGTGCTCAGTGGTTGGGTGTCTATGTCCAGACCATGCTATGACTGGACACTTACCCTGTCTGGTATCAGTGTCTTGGCCAATCACAATCAATCAATCCCATTCTCAGATCCTGGCTTCCACATTCCCAGCAATATCCACAGGTGCCAGTTAAAGTTACTTCCAAGGAGAGAATCTAGTTCTCTGATTCCTAAATCTTTCTGAAACTCTGTGAATCAATTATTTCTGGTTGGCATTTCCTTCTACAGTCACTTAATTTTTGTAATTTAGTTAGACTCATCTTTATATTTACCATTTCCAATGATTTCATTCATTCCCAGCATTTTCTATTTTCTTAGTTGTTATGCTTTCCAATTTGTATTGCTATTTTATTTATTGTAAACACTGCAAATGTAAACACTAGTTTAATCATTGCTACAGTTGGTCTTTGTCCCCTCCAAAACTCATGTAGAAAGATAATTTCTAGTGTGCCAGTACTGGGAAGTGTGGTCCTTGAGAAGTAATTCATGAGCTTTGCCATCATGAATGGGATTCCACTCCCTTATTAAAAAGCTTAATGGAAGGAAATTGACACCCCATCTCCCCATTCAGCTTTCATCAAGTAAGAGCACAGTGTTCCTTCTCACTAGAGGACAGAGCTTTTAAGGTACCATCCTGGAGACAGATATGGGACCCTCACCAGAAAATGAACCTGCCAGGCACTTGATCTTGGATATCCCAGGCTTCTGAAATATGAAAAGTAAATTTTTATAAATTGCATAGTCCATGATAATTTTTATATTAATATACAGTATAACCTTTGGACTAAAACAATCAACCAGAGATTGTTTCCCTCTAAGAATAAAATTTAAAATCACTTATTAATGAATGTGATGAACCAAATGACCAGTTTTAAGGAGGACCAGTTTTCTCTACAAGAATAGAACTTTATAAAGTTTTATGGTAAGAAAAAAATTCTTCAGATACAAAACTGGATCAGTTGTGGTGGCATTACCCAGGTAACAGAAAATTCTGTATTTCATTTCCAAGTTAACTTCACCGAGATCTTTGACTTTCACCTCCTTAGATTGGGCTCTGCTACCTCATCTTGCATGAGAAAAGTTTTCTTATTATTTCCATTTGTTATTTACAAGATTGAAATATTAGATTATGTTACAATGAGATGCTGCAGAATACATAATAAATTGGTTGTGAAACATTTTTACAACTATAAGAGGGTTCATACTTGTCTTGCACATTATTCATTCAACAACTATTGCTTCAGCCAATATTTACTACATGTTCACAATGGGATAAGCAATGAGCTAAGAGCTCAACGTTGCAACATGTATAAGATTTCCTCCTTGTATGGTCATGCCTATTTCATTCTACTTTGAACAATGTCTTAATACACACCATAGTCATAATTTTTAATTAACAGCACTGGCACTCTTTATTTAACATGTGACTAACTTTTTAAATAGTTACTGGATTTACTTTTTTTAGGACAATCTACTATATAAATAAAAGTTAAATATAAAGAGCAGAGATTGTAGTTAAATATCTTCTTTTAGAATGTCACTTTTTCTATCTGAGATCACAGACTAGTAATTAAGAGTTTATTAAAAAGTTGGTGGTGATTTCTAGCTCCAAGATCAGAGTACAACAGTACATGTTTAAATCTTATGTTTATTAGATCCTTAAATAGAGTTCCTTCTCTACAAGTGGCACTAATTTCTAAGAACCCGGCCCTTAGGCCTGGGGCTGCTTCCCAATCTACTGCTGGAATTCCAGATTGTGGCACTCTGCTGAAACATGAGTTCAGTTACCAAATATAGCTGAGTGCAGTAAGAGGCCAGATGAGGGTCTGAGGCCACAGTCGCCTCAAAGTGACCAAGGACCAAGCAGCCTCTAATGGACAGGCAAACCAACCTCTGTTCTCCTAGAAAAGAAGAAATGCTCTTCTGAAATTCATCATCTTTCTGGAGGTTTCAAACTGACCAAGCCTTGAAAAGGTCTGTACTATGTATCTTAATATACTTCCTTGTAGGACAGCATTTTAAGGACTTGGAGGGAAAAAACAAACTAGAAATATTACAGTGGTTTGCCTTTGAAGTTATGATACCATTTACAAGGTAACTGACTTTTTTTGCAGTTTAGAGGGGAAAAGTAATGTGAAATGCTTAGTTTCTCCATAAACAGGTATTTTATAAGACTTGAATGCTGACTTTAATCTCTGATATGCTGTCAGACAACCACCTTTTCTGTTACAACCTTAGGCAAGCTAAATCAGTGCTATCGATTACAAAGGATTACATGTGTTAATGGAGCCAAATCTGTCAAGACTGTGTATGTCTTATGTTTCACAGAAAATAAAAATACACTTATCTAGACCCTCATCCACGGTTATAGTAAAAGCTGATGGCTTAGAATGATTGGCTCTAGTAACATTGTAAGTTGTTAATTACCCTTTCAAAGGATTTTAAAAATAATCCCTAGAACAAAATTAAGTCAATTGATAAAGTAATAACAAGTATTTTAAATTATATCTATGCGTAACATATAAATATAGATAGATAGATAGCTATACATATCTATATATAGTTTTAGAAGATAAAACAGAGTAAGAGAACTCTAGTATAGTTTGTGGGATCCAGTTAAATTTAAATACCGTGGCATATTTTATATTGTGTGTCTTTAATTGAATTAAGTTTATTGGTACAATTTAGGTATATACAATGATCATAGTAATCATACGAAATTTGCACCTGTACATGATATACCTTGTTTTGTGTCCTTTATTTCTCCCATTCTCCTCCCCTCCTTTCACCCATATTAAACAACCCAAATACCTATCAACTGATGAATGGATATTATGTTGTTTTAATTACACATGAAATTGTCTTGAATACTATATACAGTGTTGGTACAGAATGATTTCAGGCTCATATTACTTTTTGGCATTTACTGAAGATACTAATTATAATTTACTATGGATATTATAACCAAACTGGAGCCTACTTCTTGGCAATATTGTATTTATTTTACATTGTAAAAATATAAATCTATTCAAAATCTATTTAGTCATCTACATACATAAATTGAATTCCTTTTTTCATGATAAACATACCTTCAATTTTTCCTCAAAGAATGTGAATATTTACCTTAATAATTCAGATTTTTTAAAATCAATCTTTTAAAATAACAGTTATAAACAATAATAAGGCTTAAGAGAATAATCTAGCCAGTGTCTGCTCTGTAAGTAAATGGTGACACAATCCTAGAACTCCAGTTATTCCTCTGTCACCCTGTCCTCAGTATGGGGTACGGTCTGATCTCAGGGGCTCTGTGTCAGCCATCTGTCTGGCATCTCTCTCATTGCTAAAACTGAATATTGAAACCGACCCCGTAAAACTCACAACAGAATGAGAATCTAGATTAGACTAGACAATTACAATCACTTCCATTTATTTACCTTGTTTTTTAAAAAAAGACTGTAAGAGAAAACATTTTCAGGCCTGCGAATACATCTGACAAGTTTTCAAAAGACACCAGGTGAGATCTGTAAGGCCAAGACAAGTCTGCACTTCTTTCATATGGTATGCATGGAGGCTATTAAAGGGCACTGCAATCTGTGAGTGCCAGGTAGGCATTCAGACCATCTACAGGTAACATCTCATCCTGACTAAATTCTAGCAAAAAAGGAAAAAAGAAAAGAAATACTTACGCTAAGCTTTAATTATAATTTATAACTGTTTAATCGTCATTTTAGAGAGTATTGAAACAAATTCAGTAAATAGATTTGGGCTTTAAGCATGAAATGAATACACTAGATGTAATGTCCAAATACCAGACTTTTGCTACTGATTCAATATGATGGGCAGACGTGAAAAAAAAAGGACACCAAGGATAACTCCAGATAATTTTTCTGTAAAATATTCATAGCTGTAACAGCATTAAATAAACTTTTATGATTCTATCTCTAAAACGGAAATAAAATATCTTATTTGAAGTGATATTTACAACTGTAGACTAAGTATGATATATATTCCTGCAGTGAATTTTTGCCTGATAATTAAGAAGAAAAAGAATGCCTTGTGTTTAATAAAAATAAAAAGTATACTTTTTGCATTAAATGCAAGATTTTATAAATTTTTCATGATTGCTTTTAGCTCTACATTAGGAAAGAGAGGCAATTTGCAGCAAAAAGAACATTATTGAGAGAAAAGAAAAGAGACACAAAACAAGGAACTAGTGAACAATTAATCTAGGAGCACCATATTTCAAAAAACAATTAAATTTTCAAGATTTTTAAACTTTTACTTCCATGGTAAAAATATTTGTAATATCAAATCTTTGAATCAACAGTTTGTATTCTTTTTAAGTCATTGATTAAATATGAAAACAAATCAGCGAAACTGCTACACTTAAAATCAATTATCGTATTAATATGTTTTTTCAAAGATTATGAAATAAGCATCAAAAAGATTTTCCCACAAGTCCCACCCATCAACTACACCCCTGCTTAATCCAGCCACAAAGATAATCATGGTTAATCCTTTGGTTTCTGCTCTTCTAATCATTCATATAGCTATTTCTTGCTATGAGTGTTTTTTAGGTGATATTAAAATATTAATGGGCCAGCCTGGTCTCTCCAAAGTATCTGAAAAAGGGGTAAATGACATTGAATGACCTTTGGAGACTGTCAGCCTTTTTTTAACATCAAATATTTTTTTTTCCAAAAGAATAGACCTCTTCATTGTCTCTAAAAGCATTCCTTGAGCATGACGTAGAAGTTCTCTCCCATCAAATTCTTAGAGTAATTACTCCTGATAGCCTCAATGGGAAAAGAAAAGTTTGCAGCTCAATGAAAGTTTCAGTCCTGAGTCTGCCACTTCCTAAGGATTCAAATTTGGCCGAAAGTTTTTTTGTGTGTTTGTTTGTTTTTATTGTAGTTTTGGGCAATAAATTATAAAATAGAAAACCACTATCTGTTCAATGAATTGTCTGTGAGACATGTAAGTCAGCCAGGTGGTAGAAAGTCCTTGGGAGGTCCAGCTTTGGTTGTTTGTAACCCTGATGGTTTCTTGTGCATATATATTTATGCTGTGTTCTCCCCAAGTTCCTTCAAAACAAGAAACTTTCTCATTTCAATAGTCAAGAGTGCCTTCAGAGGAATCATACAGTTAGGTGACCCATATGTATTTTTCACTGATAACATAAACTATCCAAGTGTCATACGTCTGACTTTCAGATAATTGATCCCCAAAAGTTAACAACTTCAAAAGCAAAAGTTATTTATAATTTTATAATTTGCCTATCTTTTCTACCATCTGTGTATTCATACATGTATTATATATATTATGTATGTGTACTTATATGTGTATTATACATTCAGGAATTCAAAAATAAATGTTTTCCCAAATATTAGGATAATACTCCCAAGATAATTTAAGATATAAAATTACATATGTCAGAATGTGATATCAAATAACAAACATAAAGTCTTCAATGAAAATTTATTAACATGAGTTATATTTTACAGTATAATAAGAGAATCCAGATGATGTAACCTTAGGGAGAAATTGTGAATCATAAATTTATAATTAAAAGCAATCTATAAATTCAGTGGCATAAAGCCCTCTAAGAAAGAATTAAGTATGCATAGGAAGTTAATCAAACTAAATAGAAGTTCACATATGAAAGCCATAGAGCTGATAATAAGCCTGAAAACACCTGTCCATAGCAATAGATGGACAGGAATCTATCACATTCAATGGCGGTTGCCAGCCCTTCCAAACCCGTGCTCTACCACGTATCTGCTTAAGATTAAGAGTTTGATATCATGCATAAATGCCACAACTCACTGAGAGGATTTGCAGAGCACCACAAGGTGACGCGGCTGCTGCCCTTATGGTGCAACTAAGGGAACCTGAAGCACCCTTCGTCTGAGCATGTCTCCTCTGTGACTGGCCCTCCCCTCCAGTGGTGGGCCATGTTCTGCAGAAGTTGATATTAATGTAAATATTTTATTCTACTCTAACATCTTTTAAAGGTAAATTGAGGTGTGTCCAATAAAAGCACAATACAAGTGCTCAAAATCAATCAAGAAATAACATGGGACCACTCTAGGTATAAGAAATTGAGCATCAGAAAAATTTTTCTCTTACTAGAATGTTAGCTTTTGGGATGGAGGTATGGCTCAGTGGTAGTGCAAAGATTAGCATGTGTGGGGCCCTGGGTTCAACTCTGCAACCAATGGGCTAACAAAAAGGTGTTAGTTCTATAGGGCAGAATAGCTCTTACAGCTATGTTCTCAGCTCATAAAAGAGGAACCCAGCATACAGTGAACACTCAACAATCAATAATTCAGTGCTGACTGAGGTAATAGAGAAAATAAGCAAATACATACACATTCTCAGTCTAAACATTTGTATTTCTATGATCTTATATATAGAAAAATCAAGGGCCAGTGATAAAACTCAGTGGCACAGGGCTTGCCTAGTAAGCACAATGTTGTGAGTTTGATACCTGGCCCCTCCAGGAAAGAAAGGAAGAAAGAGAGAAAGAGAGAGAGAGAGAGAGAGAGAGAGAGAGAGAGAGAGAGAGAGAGAGAGAGAGAGAGAGAAAGAAAAGAAAGAAAGAAAGGAAAGAAAGAAAGAAAGAAAGAAAGAAAGAAAGAAACAGAGGGGGGGAGGGAGGGACGAAGGAAGGAAGGAAGGAAGGAAAGAAGGAAGGAAGGAAGGAAGGAAGGAAGGAAGGAAGGAAGGAAGGAAACCAAAACATCACCAAAAGAACTACATTGGGATTCACCAAAATTACAGCATACAAAATCAACATATACCTGGCAAGAATGAGGTCATGGATTCGATTCCCTGTACCAAAATAATGATAATGAACATAACAAAAATCAATAGCAGGTGAGCTTAGCTCAGCAGCACAAGCACCTGCCTGGCAACACGGAGTGGTGAGTTACATCCCAGGTACAAAAAAATAGCACTGCTAGGTGCCAACA